AGTTTCTAAGAGCAGTTGAGCTCATCCATGAAGACCTGTTAGTATAGGGAGCTAGCACATATCATGCCATACCAGTTGCCATAGGCTTGATCTTGATTCATGGCAGTCCTGTGTTTGTAGAGTAGAATGGCACTCCACAGGGTTTTGAAGGCTTCTAACCTTTTAGAAGCAGATTGCCAGACATTCTTTTTTTCTTTTTAACTTTTTATTGTGATTTGAGTGAAGGTTTGCAGAACAGATCATCAAATTTACATCCAACAAACTGTATACTTTGCTTCATTACATGGTTGCAATCCCCTCCAGGTACCAACAATTAGTTAGCAGCATTCACTTCAATTGTTACATTCCTCCAGGCCTCCTGCTACCGTCATCATTCCTTCTTGTTGGATATTGACTGCCCTGTCATCCATGTTAACATGTGTCTACCTTCTAGCCCATGAATAATTTTCTTCCACCCCCTCCTCCCTTGGTAACCATCATAGATTGTTTCTTTATAACTTTTTACAACATTGGTCTTATGCAATGTTTGTCCTTTTGTGGTTGACTAATTTCATTCAGCAGTCCTGGTGTGGCGCTGTGGGTTAATGTGTCAGACTGCAAAGTCGTTTGAACTGCAAGATCAGCAGTTCAAGCTCACCAGCTGCTCCTCGGAAACCCTATACAGGGTTGTTATGGGTCAGAACCTATTCTACAGCACTTCAGAATAACAACAAATTCCACTCAACGTAATGCCCTCCAGGTTCAACCATGTTTTGAGGTGTTTGACAGAATCACCATTTTTCTTCAGTGTTTTGTGGTGTTCAGCATATTGTGTGTATGTACCAAAGTTTGTTTAGCCATTCTTCTGTTGGTGGGCTTTTAGGCTGTCTCCATCTTTTTTATATGTATTGTAGACAGAGTATTGAAGAATGCAGTTTTCTTATCCATTCTGCTCTTTATGTCTCTTGACTGGTACATTTAATCCATTTACATTTAGTGTAATTATCAATAGGAATGAATTGATTGTTGTCATTTTTTCTCTGTGTTGTTTTTTGTTGTGTGTGGTGCTGCTGGAGTCTTTGTTCATATCATTTTCTGTACTGAATTTGTTTTGTTTATGGGTTTTCTTATCATTTTCATTTCTGTTGTTTAAATGTTTACTCAATCTTTCTGATTTTCTTCTTTATATTTTAATATATAAGTTATTATTTTTCTTTTAGGTTACCCTGTAATTTACTAATTTTTTCCCTGCTTAAAACAGTATGTTTTATCTTGAGATCTACTCAACTTTCTTGCCATTTAGAAGTTCTATATGCCAGACCATATTTTAAAGGTATCTCTGAGCGTGTTCAAACTACCAACCTTTTGGTTAGTAGTTGAATACTTAATCATTTGTGCAACTCAGGGACTCGCAGCTATTGAGAAATCAAATAGCATGTTGCATTGGGCAAATCTGCTGCCCAAAAAACTCTTTAAAGTGTTAAAAAGCAAAGATGTCATTTGAAGACTAATGTGCCTGACCCATGCCATGGTGTTTTCATTTGCCTCGTGTATGCATGCAAAAGCTGGACTGTGAATTAGGAAGACTGAAGAAGAATGCCTTTGAATTATGGTGCTGGTGAAGAATATTAACTTTACCAGAAGAATGCTCCGTAGAAGTGAGAATGACAAGACTTGATCTCAAGTACTTAGAACATATTACCAGCAGAGACGAGTCCCTGGTGAAGGACATCAAGCTTGGTAAAGAAGAGGGTCCATGAAAAAGAGGAAGGCCTTTAAGGAGATGGATTAACACAGTGGCTTCAATATAACAATTGTGAGGATGACCAGGACCAGGCAGTGTTCCCTTCTGTTTGTGTAGGGTTTCTGTGAGTCAGAACCAACTTGATGGCACCTAACAACAATAACATGGAAAACTGTTGCACAGGGGCAGGCACATAGCACTTCATACATGATGTATGAAGACATGCTAAGCATCAAGCTAGGTATTTTTGTATACACTGTTTCCTTTAATTATTATAAATTACTAGCTTGCCAAAGGTCAACACAGCAAGTAAGTAGCAGCAAGAGAGCCAGGACTAAAGCCAGATCTGATGTGACTCTACCTTAACATGAAGACGTCTGTCCTCCCGAGTTACTGCTTGTTTAAGGAGCCCTGGTGGCACAGTGGCTAAGCACTCAGCTGCTAACAGAAAGGTCAGCAGTTCGAACACACCAGTCACTCTGTAGGAGAAAGCAGTGGCAGTTTGCTTCTGTAAAAATCATAGTAGCAGAGACTTGACAGCAACAGGGTTTTTGTGTATGTGTGGGTTTGTTTTTTTTTTTGGTCTCACTGGGATTGGGGAAGGATCCTGGAAAGCAAATTGTTTTCCGGGAACTTCTGAGTCATCTTATTGGCTCTATTTTCTACCCTCCATGGCTAATAGTTGTTTCCCAAGAAAGTTATCTGGTCCCCATCAAATATGGCAGTGATATTGCTAGCCTTTTTGAGAAGCTTTTACCATAGAGGTTCTATCAGTATGCCTTTCCTCAAAGGTAGGGAGTCATTTTGGCTCATAGGAGAACAGATCAGAACAATGATGAATTCTATTTTGTATGGGAACAATGAAGTTCTTCCAATATTAAGTAATAGAAAGCCAACTTAAACTGGCATAAGCCCAAAAGGGAATTTATATAACAAAAGTTTGGGGGGTCAGGAGAGGCTTCAAGCATAGCTAGATCCAGGGCCTCAAATGATGTGAACAGGTTTTGGTTTTCTTTTTCTCCCCTTATCTGTTGACTCAACTGTCATCTGCACTGACTTCATTCTTAGGCAGACTCTCATCATGAGATAACAGGCATGGCAGCCAGTCACATCAGGCGTACAGTGTTTAAATTAAGCAATCCTGGCAGAGAACTTATTTTCCTCCAGTGGTTCCAACAAAAGTTACAGAGAGGGCTTTCCTTGGCCAGGTTTCATCCTGTGTCCATCCAGGCGCCAGGAAAGAAAGTTAATTTTCCAAAGGGAACTCGGCAATAGTACCAGGAGACGGGAATAGATGTTTAGCAGGCAAATCCACCTCAGTGGATGCCTTAGAATAGTTAGTGTGATGCCTTTTCCCTGGCCGATCTCTCCAGTTCAGGTCTTCCTCTCAGTACTGGCAGTAGCTGGAGGCCCCTGGTCCTTCAGTGAAATAAGGCCATCCATTCCTCCTCTCTAGTCACCATCCAGGCCAGACTTGTTTAAGCATGGTTCGCCTGTCCAGGAATCCTTCCTTTAGGGATGTATTGTTTTGTTTTGTTTTGTTTTTTAACACTGCATGCTTTAAAGTGACTATTTCCCTAAACCCCTCAGTGTTTGCGGAGAACTATTAGAGTCCTTTTTGGTTGCTTAGATCTCCAGCAGTCATGTTCCTTGAGCAATGGAATGCTTTGAACATTTAAACCAGAATGGCCTGAGGGAAGGACAGTTCGAGTTCTAGTTTTCATGGTTTGTGTCCATCTGTGTTCCAAAGATCACAGGCCATAGGTTTTTGTTTGTTGTTGCATTGTTGTTGTTGTTAAGTGCCATCAAGTCGATTCCAACCTATAGCGACCCTGTATAGGGTGTCCAAGGAGCAGCTGGTGAGCTTGAACCACTGACCTTGCAGTTCAAACGACTTTGCAGTCTGACACATTAGCCCACAGCGCCACACCAGGACTCCTTGTTCTGCATGTTGTTAATAAGTGCTGTCAAGTCGATTCTAACCCATAGTGACCCTGTACAGGGTTTCCGAGGCTGTAAATCTTTTTACAGGAGCAGAACGCCTCATCTTTCCTCCTGCAGAACAGCTGGTAGTTTCGAACTGCTGACCTTAAGGTTCGCAGCCCGATTCATAACCACTACACTACCAGAGCTGCTTAGTAGTTGGTTATTACTGTTTTGAACTGAATTGGTTTCCAGCATTTAAAAATTTACTCAAGTTCAGATTTTTTGCTTCTCTTAAAAAACCTCTAAGCCCTAATAGTACAACAGTCTTCTCCCTTTAAAAAGGTATAGGCTTTCCACCTCATAGTCTCCACCAGCTCTGTTCAAAAGCTGGCTTTGTAAGCATTTGAGGTTGAGACCCTGCTCTGTCTCAAGGCTTTTCTTCTAACATTGGGTTGGGAGAAGAAGGTAGATGCATATTTAATCAGAAGTTTATTGGATAGCACAGTGTGGCTGCTTAGGAAAAGGAATGACCCAGTAAAGTAATCTCTGGACAAGAGTGTGCTCAACTTTGGTCTGTTTTTGGATTTGGTCATCTTTTTTGCCGTAAATGCTGTTAGCATATCAGATGTCCTGCCACAAATGTTCCCTCTCTAGTTAGTAACATGTCCTCTATTTTCTGAGTTGCCACCCAGTGAAGGAGTCCCTTCCACTCCAAAGGCTGTTCAGTCAGCTTCCACTTGAGTACTTCCAGGACCCCCAGGATCTTATGCCCTCCTCACATAGTAGCCAGTTCCATTCTTGGATAGATGAATTATCTTAAAATTCTTTCTTATGTTGAGGCAGCTGCTGCCTACTTGAGACTAAAAGCCACAAAATGCTGGAGCTGATTGTTTTCAGACACGTGAGCCATCACTTAACCCGTGCTACATCCAGGGCCAACAGTGGTAATCAGTCACAATAGCCCTTCTTACAGAATCAAAGATTTCTTTTAAATTTTTTATAACTTAAATTCCTCTTTAGAAATTACAAAAATACTATAGGTACACTTGCAACAAGTGAAATTGTAAATTGTAAAATGTTAAAACTCCCTTCTGTCAAAGGTAACCAATGCTAACAGCTTAGAGTGTATTCTTTCACACGTTTTTCTATACACATGCAGACATAGACATTCATCTGTAAGGGTGTGTGTGTGTGTGTGTGTGTGTGTGTGTGTGTTTGTGTAAAAATGTTATAAATCCTGTTGTCAGGATCAGAAGTGCTTTTAATAACTACATAAAGCACTTTAGTGAGGTGTGCCCCAATTTATTAATGATCCCTACATTGGTGGATATTCATGTTGCTGCATTTCTTCAGGATCCTTCTCAGCACTGCTTCAGGCAGCCACTACCCATGATTGGAGTTAGCCTGTAAGGTAAATTCTATTTGTCATCTCTGATTGAGTCCAGCTCTCTTATCTCACATATTCTAGAGAAAGGAAGCGAACTAGTTCAGAGATCAGAGTGAATCAGGGCCTGGGGCAGAACTAAAACTGAATGTCCTTGACTTTCAACATTTCCCAGAATTCATGTTGCCTGTTATTTATAGCTGGTAGCGTAGTGGTTACGAATCGGGCTGCTAACCTTACGGTTGGCCGTTCGAAACTACCAGCCGTTCCACGGGAGAAAGATGAAGCTTTCTACTCCTGTAAAGATTTACAGCCTCAGAAACCCTGTGTAGGGTCACTATGAGTCAGAACCAACTCCATGGTACTTAACAACAACAACAACCCTTGTTCTTGGGAGCCCTGGTGGCAATAGTTGGTTACCCAATAGGCTGCTAACCAAAAGGTCAGCAGTTCAAGTCTACCAGCTGCTCTGTGGAGATGAGACTTCCTGTTCCCATAAAGATTTACAGCCTTAGAAACCCTGTACTGGGTCACTATGAGTAGGAACTGACTCAACAGCTCACAGCCAACAGCCCTGGTTCTCACTTGTGGAGTGAAAGAATACATCTAATTTCCCTTAGGTGTACTACCCCTTTAGAGAGTCAAAGTCACTTATATCATTCCCTCTGAATCGTCTCTTCCCCAGGGAAAATGTCTTCATTGCCTTTAAATAATTCTCGTAAAATAAGGTTTCCAAATCCCAAGGGTTATCATCCTTTAGGCCTTTCCTTGTATCATCTTTCCCCCTAGAGCTGTAGAAATCCCCAGTGTGTATTTCATGCTTATGTGCTCCCTTTTGAATGAATCACTTGCCTTCTGTATGTGTTTTCTCTATGCCAGGGCACTTTCTAGGTACTGTGTGACCAAGATAAACCATACAGCTTAGATTTAGTGGGAGGAAAGAAACTAACAAATATAAATAAGTTGATATCTGAGGCTGCCAAATTATATAAAATAAATGAAATGGGGTTAATAGGGTGATTTGGGTACAGATTCTTTGGATTAGATGGTCAGGAAAGATCTAAGGAAGTGACATTAAGTGCAGTAGGAAGCTCTGGTAGCGTAGTGGTTATGAATCGGGCTGCGAACCTTAAGATCAGCGGTTTGAAACTACCAGCCGCTCCGCGGGAGAAAGATGAGGCTTTCTACTCCCGTAAGGATTTACACCCTCGGAAACCCTGTACAGGGTCGCTATGGGTCGGAACCGACTCGACGGCACTTAACAACAACAACAGGAAGCCATTGGAAGATTTGAAACCAAAGAGCAACATCTGATTTCCCTTTTAAACAGAATGCTAGGAGGTTTCATTTCTCCCCCACACCTTTCCCTGTTTTCTTGTATCCAGAGGGATTGACAACTAAGCCAGTTTACTTTGTTTGGGATTCCATGGGGGTGGATCCATGAATCACGTCATAGCCATTGTCAGATGCAGCTCACAACCCTCTCAACAGAGTATGAAAGGTCAAGATGCTGGCTAGCCCTCGAAGACCTGGGCCTTTGTGGGGCGCTCTCAGTCCAAGGTGGGAACCCGAGGGTACCTCAGTCTCGTTAGCAGCCAGAAGAGGGATGGATGTGGTTGTGTCGCAGCAGTGCACAGGAAACGTGAGTGGAGACTGGAGCTTGAGAGACACTTGGAAAAAGCCTTCAGCATGGTGTCCAGAAACCAGTCAGCTAAAGAATAGTCTTCTTGTTTGCCCAGTTGGAACAGCTACTGTGTAATTCGTACCTTAGAAATTTGGACACTCTCTTGCTTGGGAGTTTTTGACTTTTGATCTGTTCCCTTCCCCTCAGGTTGGCATCCTGTTGACTCCTGGAGCTAGGTGACAGGCCAAGGATACTTCCCAGTTCCTAGGGCTTGGGTCTGGAGCCACCCTCAGGAATTGAGAAAAGGACTGGGAGAAATTCACCTCAACATAGGATCTTGGAAAGCAGGGTTGCTCATTTTACAGCCCGGGGAACTGGATTGAAGGGGGTAAGAGTCCCTCAGTCTGTTGGAAACCTTTGGGCTAACAGGCACCTAGCCATTCCAGATCAGAGCGTTTTCTGTCTTACTCAGGATCTCTATAGGAGCCATCACCCCACCCCTGCCCCCATCTTAACATTGTAAAGGGTCTTAGCTTAGTATGAAGTAGCCAGCAGGAGAGTAGCCACTCTGTCCAACTCTCGGAGGAGGTGGCCCCAGATGGCAAGGTTAGGGAATATGCTCCAAGTCACATGTCTGTATTAGTGGGCTTGGGGCCAGGTCTCTGTTCATGCAGATCTTTGCCATAGTGTGCACCCGCTGCTACTTCCCATTTCTGGAAACTCTCACCCTCTTAATTCTGTTTTCAGTTCATTTCCCTAGACTCTGTGACAGGCAGGATTGAGGGAGCATCTTCTTTGTAGGCTCTGGGATGAGTCTCTGAATCCCAACACTTTTTTTCTATATTTAAAAATTGGAAGGGAATTTCGTTCATCTGGTGTTGGCGTCTCCCAGGGTCTCAGCACAACAGGTTTCCTGACAGGAAGGTGTGAGGCCTCCGTGCCCCTCAACCCACATTTGCCAGGCTAGTTCCAGCCCTTAATTCTACCTACTTTCTGTTTCCTTTTCCAGGAGGTTGGAGAGGCGTGGCTGGACCAAGACGTCCCTCAATGTGAGCAAGTTTCCTCCCCCCATCTCCTCTTGCCACCACGCCAGGGAACAACCTCAAGCCCTGGCCCTCAGGGGAGAGGTAACAGAAGCCCAGAGCCGAGACCATGTGACGGCGCTGGCCCTCGCCACCGCCGTCCCCCCCACCCTGGCCCCAGGCCCGGCACCATGATGTTCCGAGACCAGGTGGGCATCCTCGCTGGCTGGTTCAAGGGCTGGAATGAGTGTGAGCAGACAGTGGCTCTGCTGTCACTTCTGAAGCGGGTCACCCGCACCCAGGCCCGCTTCCTGCAACTCTGCTTGGAGCACTCACTGGCCGACTGCAGTGACATCCACCTCCTGGAGTCAGAGGCCAACAGTGCTGGTGAGTCTCCACCCCCAGACATGGGAGCTCAACAAGAGGGAAACCTGGGACAAGAGCATGGGCTAGGAGCAGTGGTGTCTGACTCCCAAGTCATCATCATGGGTCTGCCTGGGTTGGTGTTGCCAGGTAGCCTCAGGCAGGGAATGGGAAGTACCCAGAGCCAGGGAAGGATCGGGTCTGCTGGCTTTGCTTAGGTAATGGCAGGGTTCACTTATCTGGGAGGCTGGAAGGAACAGACTAAAGTCTTTACCTACGAGAGAAGGATGGAAGGTGAGCAACAGTCGATTTCTCAAGCTCCAAGACCTCTAAACTAGAGGGAGATTTTAGACCTCTCCTCCAAATTCACAAGTCACCCTATTACACTCAAAGGCAGGTTGGACAGTTTACCCCCAAAGGTGGCTTGGACTTAAGGCAGAAGCAACTTCAAGAGAGTTTGAATTGATTTGTATAGTACTCCATTTCTGTCCCATGAGGTGGGTGCCAGGAAGGGTGATCCTGGCTTTTCTAGAAACAGACCCTAGGTCCCCAGTCCTATCAGCAGGTAGTCCAGAACACCATCTAAAGGGACATTGCTGAAGCCATTCTGGGCCTCACAGACTCACAGGGCTGGATGGAGAGCTGTTGACCCTGGTGACAGGTAGGAGAGAGGCTGGAGAACAGAGAGGGTAGTTCATACTTAAAAGCTAGCTGGGAAGAAGGGGACCCAGGAGTTTTAGGTGGAATTTGTCCAGATTAGTCACTTTAAGCCTTCCCTCCTTCTTCCCCTTAATGATAGTTCACATTGAGCCCTTCCAATATGCCTAGTGCTGTTTTTACTTGTATATGAGCTTTACAAGTTATGTTCTTTGGTGACTGTATAGTCAGACTCTCGGGGTTTAAATCCCAATTTTATCACTTACTAGCTGTATATTCCAGTAAATTAAACTCGCTGAGCCTCAGTTTTCTCATCTATACAATCCAGATGATAGTTATACTACCTTCTAGGGTGGTGGTGGTGGTTATGTGTCGAGGAGTTGGTTCTGACTCATAGCGACCCTGTATAGGGTTTCTGAGGCTGTAAATCTTTACAGGAGCAGAAAGCCTCATCTTTCTCCTGTGGAACAGTTTGTAATTTTGAACTGCTGACCCTGAGATTAGCACCCCAATTTGTAACCACTACAGTACCAGAGCTCCTTACTTTCTAGGGTGGTATTGAGAATTCGTTTGGGTAACATGTAGCTCGTTTTTAGAACAGTGCCTGATACTAGAACACAACCTATGTTCATTGTTGGTTTGGGTTTGTTGTTGTCAGTTACTCATTTAGTCCCACAACATCCCCTTGAACTAGGTACTTTTATTATCCCATTTTGTAGGTGAGGAAACCATCATAGGCTGCTAGGCATGGGATCTGGAGAGCCACTGAGTTGCCTCCTTTGTCTCCCCAGACCCACTCACTTAGTGACAAGTCACCTGGGTTTTAGCATTTTTATGTATGTGTCACAGAAGCACGATGGTTATGTGAGAAGATGGTCACTCAGGCCAATAATTGCACCAGTTTAATTCCAGTGTAGCAGACAGTGAGCTGTGAGAACTGATTTTAGCTGCAGCAGGCCATTTCACAACCTCCCCATGCTTGAGTACCAGGGGCGTTTAAGTTCTGTGTTTGTGGATTGGCCCTGTTCCTTGGGGGCAGACCAGTATCTTGCTCAGCTATGTCACCCATCTCCACCACCCCATCTTGAGCAGGCATTTGGATGACCACTGGGTGCCAATCTTGGTTGTATATCAGAATGACTAGTATTGCTTATTGCTATTTATTTGAGCATTTTTAGTTTTTGCTTTTAAAAAGGTCATATTTGAAGTAAAATTAAATTCATACAAAAGGTGAAAAGTGAGACCTCACTTCCATACTCCCACCTTCCCAATTCCTTGGCTTTGCTTTATGAGATACTCTGTAGATACACAAGTGCATACACATTATCCCTCGAGCCTTTCCATTGTTGTCACACATACAGTAGAACAACATACTTATTGGCTTTTGTCACTTACCAATACAACTTGAAGATCATTCCATAGTCACATGCATACTCAAATACTGTACCAACGGAGGGGCCTTCAAAAGTTTGTGGGGAAATTCCATTATTTCAGAATTCCATTTTTCCACGAACTTTTTGAGCCCCCTATATATACGAATCGGGCTGCGAACCTTAAGGTCAGCGGTTCGAAACTACCAGCCGCTCCATGGGAGAAAGATGAGGCTTTCTACTCCCGTAAAGATTTACACCCTCGGAAACCCTATACAGGGTCGCTATGGGTCGGAACCGACTCAATGGCACTTAACAATAACAACAACATATATACCTCATTATTGTTAATGACTGCATTAGAAGAAGAACATTGTTGTTGTTAAGTGCCATCAAGTCAGTTCCAACCCTGGGTTTATGAGACAGATGGGTTTGAACCACTGACCTAGCAATTAACAGTCCAGTGCTTATCCTACAGAACCACACCAGAAATCTTGTTAAGTGCCGTTGAATCAGTTCTGACTCGTGATGACCCTGTATAGTTTCTGAGCTGGAGTCCTGGTGGGGCGCTAGACTGCAAAGTTGGTTTGAACAGCAAGATAGGCAGTTCGAGCTCACCAGCTGCTCCTTGGAAACCCTTTACAGGGTTGCTATGAGTCGGAACCAACTCGACAGCACTAAACAACAGGATTTCTGAGGAACGTCTGGTGGGTTTGAGCTGCCAACTTTGTGGTCCGATGCTTATCCTACAAGTTCCGCACCTGGACTCCATAATAAGAATAGGTAACATTTATTTAGTTCTAATGATATGCCAAACAATGCTTTTACCTTTATTACTTACAGTCTCGCCCCGAGAGCTCTATAAGACTTGTCATAATATTCCCCACAGATAGGAGACTGAATCCCTGAGAGGTAAAGGGGTCTTATACAGCCCTGGGTCCTACAGCTGGTCAGAGTTGGAGCTGGAGTTTGACATTAGAGCTCTTGCTCTTGATCAGCAAGCTCTTCTTATTGTTGTTAGGTGCCATCAAGTCAGTACCAACTCATAACAACCCTATGCACAACAGAACAAAACACTGCCTGGTCCTGGGCCAACCTCACAATCATTGCTACTCCTGAGCCCATCGCTGTCATCACTGTGCCAATCCATCTTGTTGGGGGGTCTTCCTCTTTTTCTCCAACCTTCCATTTTACCAAACATGATTATCTTTCTTCAAAGACTGGTCCCTCCTGATACTATGTCCAAAGTATGAGTGATGGAAGTCTGGCCATTCTGGCTTTGAAGGAGCACTCTGGCTGCACTTCTTCCAACAGAGAGCTGTTGGTTCTTTTGGCAGCCCATGGCACTTTCAGTATTCTCCAAAATCATAACTCAAAAGCATCAGTTCTTCTACAGTCATCCTTATTCACTGTCCAACTTTCGCATGCACATGAGGCTGTTGAAAATACTATGGCTTGGATCAGGTGCACCTTAGTCCTTACTCTTCAACATTTTAAAAAGGTCTTGTGCAGCAAGCAGATTGCCTAATGCAATATGATGATTGATTTCTTGACTGCTGCTTCCGTGAGTGTTGATAGTTGATCTGAGCAAAATGAAGTCTTTGGCAACTTCAGTCTTTTCTCCATTGATAAGAATGTTGTTTATTGTTCCAGTGGTGAGGATTGTTGTTTTCTTTACTTTGAGATGCAACCCATACCACATAGTATTGTAGTCCTTTGCTGATGGTGTGGCACCACTATAGGATAAGCACTCAATCGAAACATTGGTTTGAACTGCAAGGTCCTTGATTCAAACCCACTCCTTAGGAACACTATACAGCAGTGGTGGTTGTTTTTGCTGTTAAGTGCCATAGAGTCAGTTCTGACACATAGCAACCCTGTATAGGGTTTCCAAGGAGCAGCTGGTGAGCTTGAACCGGTGACCTTGAGGTTCAAACTGACCTTGCACTCCAGCACATTAACCCACAGCACCACATAAGGACTCCATACAGCACAGGTGGGGAAACGCAATTCCAGCCATCACATTTGGGATGAGTTACTGAAATGTTTGACCAAATGTTTGTCATTGTTAAATGCCATTGAGTTGGTTCTTGACCATATATAGCAGGCTAATTTTTTTTTTTTTTTTTTTTAATGTTTTATGTGATCGTTTACATGGGAGAACATTAGTTTTACATTCATCCTATTGTATATCATTTCATTGCCATGGTTACAATCCCCTCCGTGCATCATCATCCAACCAAAGGGTATACACTACAAACCTGCCCCCTGGTCATCAGCACACAGCCCCTCTCCCTCTCTTCATCTAAAGTCCCTAGCTACTCCCATCTCTCCACGTCATCGTCTCTGCCTCCATCTCAGGCGTCACTGTTTCTCTGGGTTGGGTCCCGCTCTCCGCTCTTCTCCTTTGATGGTCCTAGGGACCTCTGCTCCTAGGATGCAAAGTTAATCACTCCCCTGCTTGCTGTAAAACATCTACCTGTACATTTCTAACCCTCACAATCAGTCCTGATAACAATTATTCACTATTATATCACAAGAGACCTATTACATTTTATTTCATCAGCCCCACCCAGACAGATGGGATACTACTCAATGGAGTTTCTACCTTCCTCCATGCCCTTTGGATCTAGGTTCCCTCTTGAAAGCTTGTAAGCCATTTACTTCTTGCCTTTGTAGCCCCCCATTTTGGGTAGCCAGTGTCCAAGTTGCCCATCCCTGTCTACTGTGTGTATGGAGGAGGTGGGAATGATCCTCACTGTAAAGATTTATTCCCTCTTTTGAGCTACTGCATCCGTAAGTGTAGGTCACGTTCATCAAATTGTATCAGATTACTCTTTTTTTCCTCTTTCTTCTTATAGTTGAGCTCTGATCATCCAGTCATTGAAGTCAGGTCAAGTGGGTATTATAGCAGGCTAATTTTTAAGTAGATAATTTTTTATGGCCCGCAAATGATGTTAGAAATACCTAAATGGCCCTTGACAAAAAAAGGTTCCC